TGGAATTGTTAACCTCAAATTGTTGGGTGCGGAAGGTCAATAAGGTGAATAGGAAAACATAGCCGAGAGGGTATGTTTAACAATCTTAGTGAGTTCGATTTACAACCATTGCGTAGAAGTGATTGTAGTGTAATTTTTAGGTTTAACCCATAAAATCCAAATGAAGTCAAAACCCTACCTATTTTACTTGAATGATATCCGTATTTTAATATTGCACTCTTAGTTAAATTTAGTTTAAAATTTATTGTTAAGTTTTATTAGAATTAGCTCCCATCAATCCAAAGAAGTCGTTTGTTCAACTTGATAACATAGGAAACTTAGGGCTTAGCTAACAATCCTCGTGGGAACGATAATCTACTCATCATTTATTACTTGTGCGACAGTATACTTGTTATTTTTGCATGTGTAGTAAACACGCATCACTAAGTAATTCAACAGCATGGAAAACTGCTGCTCGCTTGGAAGTTCTGAAGGAATTGTGTGGTGCGCTACTTCCAGGATTATGTATAAGCCTACTAGAAACCCTCTAAAAAATCTCTTCTCTCCTTTGTCAATGTGATGGCTAAGCAATGACAATGGCAAACTTGAGACCTGATGGGCTCATCAAGTCGTTGAATGCATCCAGGTGATCTTGAGATCACCTCTCCATTGAATGTTAACATTGCTTGGCATCTTGAAACTTGAAAAAAAACAATAGGCTCGGAGCATTACTTCTGAAAGAAGGGATCCTCCATGCCCCTCATATTGCTTGTCTTGGTGAGCTCGAAGGCTGTCAAGAATTTGTTGCAATTGATCCAGCTGATTGGTTGCTAGGACACCATTTTTGGCTTCTATGGTGGACCTATGATGACCTCGTGGTGTGTTCAACTAAGTACAAAGATCTTCGCTTGGTATTGGTTGACCCTTTTTCCCGATTCTTTCAAACACACTTGCACGACCGTCGTTCAACAAGACTATTGTATTGTGGTAGCTCGGGTTGTATGTGAGGTCTGTTGAGGGTTGAGAGTTAACCCTTTCCTGGCATGAGGTACAACTGTCGTGTTGGTTATGGGCGTTCTCTTGGAGTTAGCCCTTTCATGGCGCGAGGTGCAACCTTAGCATAGGTTATGGGCGTCTCTGAGACAATATTATTTTGGCACCTTTGTTAGGAATTTAGTGCGATTACAAGGCAGAGGAAACAACAAAAATTCACATTAAACCCTAAAACGGAGTTGAATATTTTATTTACATGCATTATACGTAATCGAAATCCATACAAGGATTTAGGTTTCTTACCAACGTGGGCGGCTCCAACTCTTTACTTGAATTCTGAAAAAGATTTCACAAGCTAATTCAAACGAGAATTGCGCTTAGGTATCCACACAATGGCAAGATCACAAATCCCTAATTTGCTAGATTAAAGAATTTTCTTCAAGGTATGATAATGGGGCTCAATTTTCAAGAGAGAGTTTTAGGTCTCCCTTTTGGAAAACGGCTATCACTAAAATTAGGTTACAAAAACCTAATTTAATTTATTTAGCACCATTAAAATGCTATTCCACCCTAGAATAAGAATAACCTATTCCTAGGTAAAATAGTATTATATATTAATTTTATTTATCATTAATATTAATATTTACATTAATATTTACTCTAATAAATAAAATTACAATTTTGCTAAAATAATGCCAATACCAAAATTGGATACAAGCTACAACCTCAGCAAATTTAATTGCTTAGCAAAATTACCAAAATGCCCATCCATCTAAAAAGATGAAATTACCCCCAAAATATCATTTACCTTAAATTGTCTTCTAAGTGTGTGACTCATAGGCTCCCTATCATGTTGGTAGTGAATAGAATCGTGATTAAGCACCAACTAATCAACTCTCCATACACAAACCAAGATTGGCTCCTAGCAAGGCATCATGGCTATCCAATAGATAAAGGATTAGGGAAATCACTACTTGTCAACAGTATGGTTATCGTGCAATCGAATTCTTTCATCATCTACTATCTCATCAAGACTGAGGTATAACACAACCTCAAATATCTTCGATATCTTGGTATTTAGTTATTGGACCAACAATCAGAATAATAAATTGGATTGACCAACAACTCAATCCCACTATAGCCACATATTTAGTGTCATTGTCATTTACCGCATCGCACAGTCAGATAACTTCTCTCGTACTTGAGAGTGATGAATCCTTTTTTAATCCACCATAGTCTTGATATACGTTTCAATGCATCCAACCACTATCGTTTCGATAGTCCTAAATAGAACTATGTTGGGCTAGTGTTAAACTATACCAATTGGTTGCACAAGGCACTTTGGTGATCTTAAGTCTAATGATCACATGCATTACCATCCATTAGAGGATTTATTCCACAGACACTAGGGTTACCATCTATGTGGAATCCTCTAGTGAGTCAGTCCAGTGAACTTGCCTATAGCAAGCACCTATGTATGACACCAGTTTTTCACCAAATAACCTTGATAAGTGAGGTCAGTCACTACCTTTCGACAGGATTGTTCAACACTATGATAGCCTAACCATATTATATGTGCCCTTAGTCAGAATAATACTAGGGCTACAGATATTTCTAGAATAGCCACCATATGTGATCATAGGGTTCTCACTATCGAGATTCGAAACACTCAATACCCTCATCATGGTTCCACCATCCTAAGGATATATATCAAGACATACAATTATGAATTACATGATATAGAAGAAAATGTCTTTTATTGATAAATAAACATGATTTATAAAGAATCAATATTACAATAATTGATTGGCTCTAGAACACCTATTCTAACAACCTTGCGATTTCACTTTTTTCTCCGCCTAGGATTACGCTCATTGATCGAGCCAGAGCTCTTGGTTGGAGTTACAGTGTAAGGTGACCAGGGCGGGTCATCTCTCGCCCCCTAAGTGATATTCTGCTTGTTGGGGTCCTGATGCCTTGGTGCTACCCTTTGCAAGGTGGCCATCTACTACTGTAGGGCCTGGATCATTGTCGCCAACGCTTCAATGATATCCACCACTTGCAGATTGGCTGGTGGAGTGGTTGAAGTCCCTACCACATTTGGATTTAGCAGAACTGTCAAATTTTCTGATGGAAGAGTTTGCACCTCCTCATTGATGACTCCCAGATTATTGATGCCGACATTACCGAGGCAACTGTTTTTGGTTATGCTTTTAGAACTAGTTATGTGAACCATGATTGATGTTTGGCATAGATCTGAAAAAAGAAGGTTAACTTGATGTTGGAAATTAGGTATCCTTTGCACCTAGTTGGGCCCTCTTTCTAGCGCCAAAATGTTGATGTAGAGATTTATACCAACCAAAGGTACGCGATTGATAGTGTTAGAATCACGTAGGATGCATGCATGATCCTAGTGAATCAGGATGAAACAATATGATGATAAATATGCAAGGATTAATCTAGAAAATAAAGAATAAAAAGACACTTTTTTAAGTGGTTCGGCTACTCGTAATGCAAGCCTACTTCCATTGTTATGTTATTGAATATATCGAAGCAGTAATTTGATTTTAAAAGAGTTTGCTTTTTATCCTAGAAAAAGATTACAACAATGTTTATATAGTATCAGTTATGGGTCAAGTTGGAGATAAACTCAAATTCGTTTAAACAGTAAGTTGCGCGATCATCAGCCTTGATTATGGGATCCATATCGCAAGATTTTTGCAAAAAAAGGGATTTTATCCTCCCTGGATTTCCCCCACAACAATTCCAATTTCAACATATTCAACCTCTTGAACGAAAAATTTCTTCTTGAAGAATTTGTTTTGCTTCAACTCCTAATTGTATCTTCTCGTTCAAATATTCAAGTTCAACATGTTGTTTGTCTTCTATTTGTTGTTCTTTAAGAATTATTTCCTCTTTGATATGATTTTGTGAAACTATTTCAAGAACTTGTTCTTCATTGCTCAAATCATGAACCACTTGAGGAATCACTTCAAGGATGATTTCAGAAAATTTTTCTCCTTGTTAGTGTACCATGAACTTCTTCATCAAGTTCTAATTTAGAAGTCATACGTGTGAGATTCTTTAGGTGTTCCTGATTTGAAGTTGGATTAATAATATAACAAGGTGATTGTGGCTGTGACTATTTTATGATTGGCTTGTTGTAATTAGGGTGGTGTGGGAGATAGGATGGCTGACAGAAGATTCGATGATATTCTATTAGTAAGAATTTTTCTATTAATAATTTTTTCAGTTTAGACCATGTTCTTATCGTCTCTTTTCCCCATCTACTTCTATTATACTTCACATGTTTCCACTAATAATATGCATAGCCTTCTAATAAAAAGACATGTTTAACTTGCTTCTCTTTCGAAACATTCACCAAGTATTCTTCCTCCAGTGCATCCAACCTATGAAGTATTGGTTGTAATAGATCCTGAACAGTGTCCCAAACAACCCTCATCCTCTGTTTATCGTCGGGAAGGAGGATGTTCGCTATCCCTGACATCGGCTTGGTAGGATTGTACCTTGCTCTGTTACCACTTAACGAAGCGTAAACGCGAAAAAGGATTTAAAAATAAAAAAATGCTTTATCACCTAGCTTTCTTGAAAATGAACACAAGTTTATTAATAATTTTGAGAGAATAACAATTAATTGACTATTTTGAGAGACTAATATTAATAGGAAATGCTTTCCTAGCAATAATTAGATTCCTTTTACATAAGGACGGTAAAGTAGGAAAACTAAGAAAACCTAATAAGATAAGGGACGCTAAATAAGAAAGCAAATCAAAATGGGAATCCTAGGTGTATTAGGGATGTTGTCCTAAATTAACATACAAGAATAAATAAAGTTAAATTTATAAAATATAATAAGGATATTTTTTAACTTAAACATAAAATAACTTATTATTTTAAATCCTATAAGCTCATTTGAAATGAAATCAAACAACCTAAAAGAATTTCAAAAGCGCTTATGACTTTAAATAAGCTCTTTTGACCAATAGATAAGCCCAATCAAACAATATCTTTGTCAATATATTAATCAAAATTCAGTTTGTAAGGTGTACTTTTGATATTAATCAAATCAAAATTCCAAACATTGAAAACATAATTTATGTTAAAAATACAAGCAAATAATTAAAGTACATTTATGTTAAAAATTGCATATGCCAATAAATGGGACCATCACTGATCCCATCCATAGCTTTCCATCCTTCTCTTCAACTTCACTGATAAACCTCAAAGTTTTTCCTTCACTGTCTTCCAAAACTTCCAAAACTTCTCCCTTTTCACTAAGCTTAATAGCAGTTGCGTGAGGCTTCCCTCCTACTAACATTGAGTGCAGTTGCCTAAAGCTAAGAGGAAGTTTTAACATTGTCTTCCCACACCATGGATTTGAAAGAATCTTTCCAGAAAGTCCTTTCTTCGCATGCAAGGCAACCCAAAAATCCCCATTAGAAGTTCTTCTGATATTGTCTGGGAATCCTGGTAACTCAGCAAAAACATCAAACTTTCCAGTGTCAGGACCCTGAAGCCAAAATCTTAAAATCCGACCGTTGTGGTTTCGGCTACCAGTACAAAAGTTCGGTCTTTGCTTAATGCAACACCATTTGCAAAGGGAATGTCTTGTAACAACACTGTCACTTCTTTGCTTGATTTATTGTATTTCAACAGCCTGCCTGTCTTGTCTCCACTCAGGATTGATGACATGAATTGTCTACAAAGAAAATATTTAAAAGAATTTAACAATTGTGCAATTGAGAAGAATTTTCTTTTCTTCTTGTTATTTATTTATTTTTTTTCAAAAGAAAATAAAATATCTGACTTTACACTAGAAGGAATCGGTTCCAAGTGCAATAATCAGGACAATGTTTTCTTCATTCACTTATACAAGTTTGACGTTTCAGAGATTCTAACTAATAGGCCATTTGGAGCTTCAATTCCAGTGGCTTTGTGATATTATCCATAAGGACATATTTTCTCAAAGAATTTGTACTTGAATTATTTCCACATTTAGCAGGACCTTTAAAATAGTTAATATTATATATTCACCTTAATTATTTTTGTTGACAAATAAAATAAAAGAAGCCATTATCTGAGGACAGCACCTACTTCCTGACACAAATTTATATGTAAATTTCACAGGCAACAAGGCAAGAACAAGTTTGTGATTAGTTACCTTCTCTGGAAACTTGTACTTGTATCTGTGAAGTAAATAACACCGTCATCTTCATCAATGTCCAGATCATTGGTGAAACGGAACAGCTGGCCTTCAGCTTCTGTGACTAGTTGTGTTGCCAAACCTCCTGCAGGTCCTACAACTTGAAAGCCAAAGTAGGCATCAGCAATGTAGAGATCTCCAGTTTTCTTATCAAATCGTAGTCCTAATGGCCTCCCACAAATATGCTCCATTTCTGGTGCAAATGGGCGAACACACTCCTTCCTGGAAAAATGAAAATTACGTTTTGCAATCAATGAAAATGTCAGAATACGTAGATCACAAAATTCCATCACATGGATAGCTTTAGCTAACTTCAGCAATTGTCAATCCAGTTTAATTAGACACTTCAAAATCATTCATGCACAGTAAATTAAAATGCAAATGTAACTACTATTCATCATAGCTTTTTTCCTAAGTGTGTATATGATGAGTTGGTGCTTGTTCTTAAGAGAATAGGTAAACATTGAACACTCAACACTGATATACACTGAGCAAGTTATGATACAATAAACAAGGGAAATTGCCATTTTCGGTTCAAAACTTATTAATTAAAAAAAAAAGACACATGGAAATATAGCAGCACAAATGTGTATGGCTGTGAAGGCATTACAGGACTAACCCCATGGTGAGCATATATCATTTTGTGAACTGCGGCAACTTGACAACAGGTTAATTCGGCATAATAAAAGACAACATCCTCAAGTCTTAAATTAAATTAACAATTTTGAGTTTTGCTAGAAGAAAATTGGATTAGAAGTTTACCATTATATTAAGAATAATACTACACTTACAAAGGACTTTATATATATATATGGTAGAGTGAATATAAAAGATCAATTGATATTGTGTAGTATTAGTCTTATATTAACATGAAAGCTTAGAATCACGGAAATATTCTATCACATAAACAAGTTATATTGGCATTACATGCATAACCATAGAAACTGTAAGTGAAAAGGATCAAAAAGTCTTGAAATTGAAGTAAAATAAGAGAAAAAGAATAATTTCCAATACAAAATCTTGAAATTCGAGAAAAATGGGAAAAAGAAAATTAACCTTTGAGAAGTAGTGACGGCAAACTCAGTCCAGCCAATATCAAGCCCTTGCCACTTGAGAATGCGACCATCAGCGACGCCAGTGTAGGGTCCATCTCCATTGGGATCGAAAGCAATACTTTCAGGTCCAAAACCTCCGGGGACTTGGATCACCTCGCAACTGTGAAGCTTGTCATAAGAACCAACTATGTGGGGTGGTCCAAAAAACACTTTCTTTGATAAAATAATAGAGATTATTGCTATTACTGTTGTGGTAATTAATATAAACTTCGATTTCATGTCTTCCCCAAACTACACAACAGAAGACCTTAGAGATCAGACCTCCTCCATAAGAAATTTCTTTTACTTATCCTGGTATGAAATCCAAGGGAGACGACTTCTCTTAAAGGGCCCATTTTATACCCAGGTTTTGGTCAAATTTTATAGGCCCAAATAGCTATTATGGGCTGTAAATCTAAAACAAAATAGAGTTTAATTTCCCCTCTGAGGTTTCATCGAATCATCATAAATAACAATTTAACCTCTACGTTCAGTATTTTGTTACTTAACTGAAACCTATGGAATAGTGACAAAGAAAAGGGGGTAAATTATTATTTCTGATACTTGAGAGAGAAAATTTTATTTGAGAAAACCTTAAGGGGAAAATTGTATTAAACCCAACAAAATAAGGGGTGTTTGTCTCAAACTAGTTTATAAGCTCTAAAATTAAACTAACCTATTTGTTTATAACTTTTTTAGGTTTATAAACTGCAAAAAAAAAAAAAAAAAAAACAAAACAAAAGAAAGTTGCTTATAAGCTAGTTTGACTAAATATATTACCACATTATCCTTATTTAATTTTAAAATTCTATCATATAATTTATCATTTGATAAAATAATATAGTATCTTTTTTAGTTATTTTAATAATAAAATATACTTATAAACCATATTATACCAAACGCGTTAACTACTTATCAGTTACTTATAAGTATTTTAATCAATTTTAAATGTTTATAAGCTCAAATTGATTTATAAACACTAACTATTTATAAGTTAATTTTTATAAACTCAGCCAAACAAATTTTAAGACAAAAGTTGGTGCAATTGACTAACAATCACGCTAATAAAAGCCATTTCTTAAGAGGGTCAATATTTATGGCTGCGTTTGGTTCAAAATTTGGGGGTTTTGGGAAATTTTTTTGAAAAAAGTTAAAAAAAAGTTGAATTGGGCGGGTATTACGAGGTAAAATTTATAAATTAATAAAATCTCCTTTATGTTTGTTTTTTTACAAAATACCCCCTATAATAAAACATTAAAAGTTAACAAAAATACCCCTAACCCACCCTCAAACACCCCCAGCCGGCGACCACCACCGGAGGTGGCCGGAGTCGCCGTATGGGCGCATGACCGGTTGGATCTTGTCGGTCATGCGTCGCTATGGCCTTTTTTCCGGCCAGATCCACGGTGGATCTGGCCGGAAAAGGTCGAATCTACGGTCAGATCTGGCCGTCAACGGCCAGATCTGGCCGTATTTGCTCTCAATGACGGCTAACAAACGGTCGTCGTTGAGTCAACGACGACCGTTTGTTGGCCGTCGTGACTGATTGTTACGGCCAAAGATCTGGCCGTCAACGGCCAGATCTTTGCCTTAGATCTGGCCTTTTCCGACCAGATCCATCGTGGATCTGGCCAGAAAAGGCTAGATCGGCGCACTGCCGGCCAGATTCAGCCGGTAGTGCGCCATTCTACCAGATTTTTTTTGGGTATTTTACTGTTACTTTTTTGGGAATACTAAAAGTATTATTCCCAAATGTGAAACAAACGCAGCCATAGGTTTTGGTCTACTAGGAAAGGATCCACTTCTCTATCACTAATAACTGTCCCCTAACTAACAGTCGTTACTATCACTAACGGGAAAAAGGGTAATTTGACTATTACAACTTTTTAAATATAAAATAAAGAAATATAATATTTATCGGCTTGTATACAAAATAACCTACACTATTATTGTATCATTATATTATTATTTAATATATATTTATAAAATTGAGTTTTTATATTAATTCAGCCAATTATAACTTAACACTTGACTTCGTAGAAAAGACTTATCCATAATTTAATTTATTTTAAATATAAAAAAGAAATATATTTTTGACTTTTTTTTTTTATGACTAAAACAAAATTTGCCTAAATCTGTCTCCTTCAAAACTCTTTTGACGGAATCTGTTTCCTGCCAAAAACATTCCAGAGCATTAAAGAAAATATCCAGAACGAAATACCAGCAGCCAATAGATCCCTCCAGCAACCCACCAGACTGTCCACACCCATCCACCGTGCAAAACGATCCCATAACACCATAATCCACAGTCAATATTCAAAAAATAGCCACAATCAATTAAAAAAAGATGAAATAAAAGCAATGATTTATCAGTAGTGAAGCATAAGTATAATTCTTTTATATCATATTTAGTAATTTTTATGAGAATAAAATTGTAATTAAAAAAAAAAAAAAGATGATTCGGATCATTGTTATATTTGTTATGCCTAAAATATTTGCATTTTCTAAAAGGTCAATATTTTAACTATAATAAAAATACTCACTGAGAAGTTGGAAGAATAAATTTAATATGTTTATTTATTTTGCATATAGGGATAGGTTCAATGCACTAAAGACAGAGGGTTATTTTAAGAGATCCTTCTTGTATTTGATACTTTTTATTCAAGTAAAACGATATGTTTATAGCTAGGTTTAGTTGTTAAATCCATATAAATATTATTGAATTTATATAATATGGTCAAATCATTCAGAACATCACGGTAAAATTCGGGATTGTAAGATCATATATATTATATATTATATGTAGTTTTTTGGAATTCATTTTATTTTACACTTCCCAAAGTTGGAAACATGCATGTGCTCATAAATACTCTTTTTTGATATTTGAGACGGGCCAAACGACTTACACATGCCCAAAGTTTGTTGAAACGATAAGTTGGTATCCAAAATATTTTGAAACGATAAATATGTATCTTCCTTCATGTTCTGTTAGTGATTTTCGTTTGATAATAGTGAAAAGACTAAAATGCCCACTATTTTAGTTTTTTATAAATTTAAAAATATCTAAAAAACCCCATAGGTTTGCTAATTTGACTAAATACTCTAATATATAAAAATTTTATAAAATAACAAAAATACCCTCACCACCCGCAGTGCCAGATTCTGGCCACCACCGCCAGAATCTAGTCGAAAAATTGCGTTACGACATAGACCCATCGGATCTGTGTAGTAACGCGTAGATCTGGCATTTTCCGGCAAGATCCGTGGCTTATCTGGCTGGAAAACGCTAGATCTACGGCCAGATCTGGCCGTCGAGGCCGGAATCTGGCCGAAAAATCGCGTTACGATATATACCCCTCGGATCTGTGTCGTAACACATCGATATGGCATTTTCCGGCCAGATCAGTGAAGGATCTGACCGGAAAAGGCCAGACCTGGCCGTCCAGGCCGAAAAAGGCCAAACGTAGATCTGGCCTTTTCCGGCCAGATCAGCCACAGATTTGGCCGGATCTGGCTGGAAAAGGCCAGATCAGCCACAGATTTGGCCGGAAAAGGCCAGATCGACGCGTTACGACACAGATTCGACGGGTTTGTGTCGTAACATAATTTTCCGGCTAGATTCCGGCGGTGGTGGCCGGAATCTGGCACTGCGGGTGGTGGGGGTGTTTTTGTTATTTTATAAAAAATTTATATATTGGGGTATTTAGTCAAATTAGCAAACCTAGGGGGCTTTTTTAGATATTTTTAAATTTATAAAAAACTAAAATATTAAACTTTTAAGGGCATTTTAGTCTTTTTACTATTATCAAACGAAAATCACTAACAGAACATGACGGAAGGTACCTATTTGTCGTTTTAAAACCTTTTGAATACCAACTCATCATTTAGGCAAACCTTGGGTATGTGTAAGTCGTTCTGCCTTTGAGATGGTCAAGCTTTTGGGATTCCGGAACAAAAAATAAAGATAAAATGAAAACATTATAACTCTAACTAATTTTTAGGGAGAATGACATTTTCCCACCCAAGGTTTGGCCAAATCACCCTTTCCCACCCATCAAGTTTCAAAATTATACTTTCCCACCTTTCGTTAGGTTCTGTTATGCTCTCTGTTAATATTTTACTGAAAAGACGAAAATACCCTTAAATATTTGACTTTATAAATTTTTTATTATTTTTTAATTAGCCAAATAGTCAAATATTAAAAAAAAAAATAGTTAACCCCACCTAAAAAGTTATAAGTAATGCTATAAAATTATTTAAAGTTAAATATTTATTTATTTATAATGTCATCAATATTTCACCATTATTATTCAATAATCTACTATATTTATAATTTTTTTCATTTATATTAATTAACATAGAAAATCAACATTCTTAATTAATTAAATAAACAAAGGAAAAAAAATCTTCATATTTGAACTAATAAATAATCGAGTAAAAACTTTGACTTAATTAAATTTTAATTTATAATAAACTAATAAGAAATAAACTATTTAAGGGTATTTTCTTCTTTTTAATCGGATATTAACAGAAAACACTAACAGAACCTAATGAAGGGTGGGAAAGTGTCATTTTGAAACTTGACGGGCCGTTTCGCCAAATCTTGGGTGGGAAAATTTAATGTTTTATGAATAACATCATATTAGCATAAACTTTTTCATGCAGCAGAAAGTGTATAAATAATTTTTTTATAAAAATTCAAGTCAATTAATAAACACGTTAATTTGTACTAAAAAATTTATATACTTAGTACCACTCTTTTTTTTCGTATTAATTATCACATTTGAGAATATTTGGCAGGCGATGTTGTAATTTACTATTTACATTACATAACATAATAACATAGTATTGTATAATATAATATGAAATGTTGTATGATATTTGATAATAAAAGTTGTGTATTTATTAAGTGTTGAACATGGCGTTCAATGCCCTTTGACTACTAAAAAAAGGGTTGTAAATGTAAGAAATAGATTAAATAAAGTGAAGCATTGGAGAATTACAAAACTTAGTTAATAAAATAAAAAGATTTGGGTTTTCGAAATCATGATTGTAGGCGAGTTTAGTGGGTCATGTGGGCCTTACCTGTTTCTTAGTTACATATTTTAAAGATTTGGAATATTTTAACAGAAATGATTTTATATATGGAATCACCTAACATCATTATTCTAATTATAAATTTATAAAAATTGTTATTTTAAATTTAGAATTACAGGTGGGTGGGCATAAATATATTTATTAGATTACTTTAAAAAATAATTATAGAATATTTTAGTTTTGAGTAACGTGGTTGGGTACAAGAAA